AAGTAGGTTTTGGGTTCTTGAGGTACGCGCCAGACGGGAGTTTGTGGCTAAAAGGCTCCAAGGGTGGGTTGAGGATTCCGAATAAGAACCCTCATATAAAAGAGATCCTTAATTTTACCGCCGTTGCGTGGACTTTGTTCGGTTCTGCGTGCAACATACGTTCCGCAGCCAGTAGCCAGCCAAGGGTGTGCCGGTTTCCCATCACCGCACTAAAACCCCACGAGCGGAGCAAAGCCACTGAAGCTTTCGCCGCGCCAGCCGGCGCATAACTCCGGTACCGCTACCCAGAGACTCCAAAACCCCTCAATTAAGGAATATACCTTAAATTATAATAGGAACCCTAATAAGATTTACGGTATATTCCTTAATTAAGGGGTTTTGGAGTCTTTGGGTAAGCCAATCTGCTGACACCCTGCAGTCTGAACTTCAGCGTCCGGTCAAGCCAGACCCTTAGCCCTCGCTCTACGCCCTAAAGTCTGTAAATCTAAAAAAATCGAAGGACCATTCCGTGACATCGCCGAAATCTGGACTGGCCACGACATCGAGAGACATGAAGGTAGGCCTGCCCGCGAGGGATTCGCAGCGAGGGGTGTCTAAGGCGAGTTATGCAACGGATTGACGCGATCCTGCATAGCCGAAGATATCGGCAACTATATGGTATACTCCTCATACTGGTTATTGCAGCATGTTGTCCATGAGCCGTAGGATTTCGGATTTGGTATGTGTCTTCGATGCCTATACGGAACCAACTCTAGCCTGCCGTGATTTCCTTGACCTCAGAACGAGAAACGACCCCGCGCCCTTGGACTTTGAAATCCTGGGATGCTACAAAAAAACAGTAAACCTCATGCACTGAAAGCCCACCGACCCCCTCCCCATGGGAAAAACAGCACAAAACGCGTGGAGCAGACAGGGTCGGAACTCTGTGCTGACGACCCCTAGACCCTCCCATCCTGGTTTGGGGGTTTGGGGTGCAGGCTTTCGGGGTTCAGGGTTTTTCGGTGTTTGGGATTGGGGTTTAGGGTCAGGTTAGGGCCCTGTTTGAAGTATGTATCTGGGCGCGGGTGGGGAACACATGCTTCATATGTACTTCGTTCCCCTTGTGTCCCTAAGCCTACTGCCCCAGAGACAGAGAAACGATTGAAACCAACATTGGCAGGTCTCTAAACCAGGGTCCCTTCTCCCCGAAAGAGCACGAACTCCTCGCACCCAAGGGCCTGCTATTCGTGGGGCCCAACGGGAACGATGGCAGTGAAGCAACTGCACTGAAGGCGACGCGGTGGGCTTGGGTCTGAGTCTTGAAAAGTTGGTTGCGGGGATTTCGAAAACGAGAGCAAAGAAACAGAGCCCAAATCCACAAAAGTCCAAACTCTCTAGACTCTAGAAACCCAAAAACCTCAACTTAAAACCCCAAGCCTTGTACTTAACAGTCTAGGGATTCAGTCTAATTCAAGCTGCGCGGGAACAGCAGCTACAACTAAGAACGGGATTCCCATGCAAGGTGCACTCATAGTCACCTGTGAACCACCACGCAGCAGATGTAGGACAGTTGAGACACAGGAAGCCTCGAATGAGGCAGTTTCTTGTACGAGGATATGGTTGGCAGCCGCAACCCAGAAACCTTCGTCTGAACTCCCAGAGCCTGAACCCTAATGTTGAAGGCTGAGAAGTTACTGATATTCATGTACATACACACACACATATGTATATATATATATATGTATACACATATTAATCCCCAGGGTCCCTGATTCTGAATGTAATAAATTATAATACAGTAGTCACCAAAAAGCTCATTCTTATTGTTAAGGCCCTTACATTGCATGCACCCTAAGCCCGAGACCCTGGCCCACCCAAGTCGCAAGCTTTGAGGATGGACTGTGCAGCAGTGCCGCCGATGCAGTTGATGCACCTCGCAATGGCCGCACCACAAACAAGGCTCCTGGGATGATTCAATGTAATGTGGGCACCCCGCGGGTTTATGCATTTTGAAGCTTCCATCTTTATCAAAGCCTTGTAAGCTAGAACGGAGCAGCTATCTTCTTCGTGACGCTGTACAGTACACCTACGAGATTAGCTAAGGGTGGGCTCTAGGGAGGCTCCCAGAGCTCGTAACTTGGGAGTTTCCGAAAACAAGGGGCACCTTATTTTGGGATCCTTATAATAAGGATCCTACTATTTAGGGTGCTATATGAGGGTCTCCTATTTTCGGAAACCCCATTTGACAAGAATCCTAGAGGCTCCCGTTACCTGCTCTACGGGAGATATCGCGCCTTTCAAGTCGAAAGTTAGAGGCGCTTTATTTAGGTGCCCTTCTGATACAGAGCTCTACTGCATGGGAATCTCTCATATAGATGCATGAGTAGGGGTCGGTCGTGACCTGGGGACATGCTGCCTTCGGCGGAACCCTTAACCCTAAACCCTAA